AGAGCCACAGCTCAGACAGATTCAACAAGAGACTAGCAAAGATATAACTTTACAGTCATTGAAGGAAGTTATACTGAAGGGATGGCCTGATGACAAACGCCATTTGCCAGCCGAACTACATGTCTACTATGACTGCCGTTCTGAATTAGCCATGGAAGATGGTGTAGTGTTCAAAGGTCTCAGATGTGTAATACCAACTAGTTTGAGACCAATGATTAGAGAGAAACTACACAGCTCTCATAATGGAATTCAGAGTTGCCTAAGAAGAGCAAGAGAAGTCGTATATTGGCCAGGGATGAAGAAGACCTCACCGATTTCATCTCAAAGTGTGAAACATGCAATACATACCAAAATAATCAACAGAAGGAACCAATGATAAGTCATGGTATACCAGAACGTCTTTGGAAAAATATTGCCTCAGACATTCTAACATTCAACAAAAGAGACTCATAACTATGGATTACTCCAATTACTTTGAGATTGCGCTTGTATGAGAAAACTGCAGCTGAAATTATCAAGAGAACCAAACGTCATTTCTCAGTACACTGCATACCAAATCAGTACTACAGTGATAATATACCATACAACTCTAAATATTTTCGCGATGTCGCCAAAGACTATGAATTTGAACTTATTACCAGCTCCCTGGAATATCCACAAAGTAATGGTAAAGTAGAGAATGCCGTAAAAACAGCCAAATTATTAATGAAGAAGTCAAAGTATGCAGAAACGAATACCTCGAACTACTTAATTGGAGAAACACACCAAGTGAAGGAATGGGAACATTTCCTATACAACATTTATGTGGTAGACGCACAAAAACACGGCTACCAACAGCTCGTCTACTGCTAAGACCAGAAATACTGAGAAAGTATCCTCCAAACTATATGAAAAAAACAAGTACAATGTCAGTACTACAATCGTGGGGTGAAAGAACTACCTAGTTTGAAGGAAGGAGAAATAGTACGTATGAGGCCAAAAGCGCATGATCAGTGTCGATGTAAAATCATATGACATTAGAACAGAAGATAGAAGAGTCCACAATAGAAGACATCTCAGAAATTCAAGGCAACCATTTAATTCTAACCAAACAGATACAGACATGAGTGTGTCAACTCCACCTCAACTAACCGAGGTAGACAAAGAAATGCCAACGAGAGCTACGATATCGCCAGTGAAAAATACTGCACCGCAGCAACAAATACTATAGATAAGTAATCCAGCAATAAGCAGGAACAACAGAGCGTCTCCTGGAACAATTGACTATCCAGTAACGCGTAGTGGTAGAACATCAAGACCACTAAAGTACCTAAGAGATTATGTTGCCACTTGATGGACTTTACAATGTGTTACATATATTAGAGTTAGTTCTCGAATTTATATAAGTTTATTCGTTCATATTCGCATTTTTTGATGAACACTATATGAACTCTTTACTGAACACTTTGTTTTGTCTATTAAGACCAAACACTTGAAAAAGGGAAATGTGTAACGTTAGTGCCTTGTATACATTGCCCCTTGTATTGCAAGAGCTACGGCTCCTCCTTAAAATATTACTGTCTGGCATTGCCTAAGGTCAATCTTGTGTACGATCTTTATTCTTTTGAATACAAAGTCAAGTAGACTTTACAAGGACCGGCTGCTGGCTATACGATTCCATGCCTCACAAAGAACGACAGGCAACCACTCCACATGGGGATTACAGTCAGCTTGCACACACGTGATAATAACATATATGCGATATTTACTATATGGAGGCCGCCACCTTGAATGCGGCATAAAACAAATAAGAGACAAGTTGTGAAACGCGTTTTTCAGATTCCTACAAATCATGACAAAAATATTTCACAGAAGTATGATCTATTGGGGGTAATATTAAGCCAACCGATAACATAATTCGGCCGAATTCATCGTTTTTGTTTGGAAATAAACCCTTAAATACGAACACATAATTACACGAAGAACATAGAACATTGTTCCCGGTGTATTTGAAACCGAAATTATTATCTAATTTTAAGACTGTCTGTAATTGGCTGCTGAGCTGGAATGACAATGTTTGGCATTTTTGGTATATTTCAAGAACAACTTCAATGAGGCTTGGTACATAGATAATCTGTAATAACGCTTTGATCTAACTAGTCGGGAATTTTAATTAACTAATTTCTATAGCGATTAGTCAATTTCGAGTTATTCCAATAATATCTGAAAGAACAATCAACAGGTCCCAATGAAACTTTGAGTTGTACATAGTCCTGATTAATTAAAGTCCATATAACCATTCTCGGCAGATTTTATTTCCCCACAATTACCATCTTGTTAAAAACAGTCTGTGATTTTTGCCGACAATGCAAACACCATGACCACCAAAATGAATATATTCATTGAAACTCAATGCAAGAAGACGTGAACTTTGCGTATTCACAGTATTAATAATGCCGACGAGACATACACTGTTCTGTTAGGCCTGATGCCGTTCGGCCATCGAAGGCACCACTCACGCCAACATGTCAGGCTATGTGGCATCTGGTATATTTTGTATTTTGGCTAGGGTATCATTTAGTAAATCGACATCAAATTAGAAAGAGCAATTCAAATAACCTTTTCACCACAGGTTCCCTCTTTCCATCGATAATTCACTAAATAATCCTGTTTATTTATAGTGTGCAATTTAGCCACATTTTCTGAGTAAAAAATTAACTCAAATTGTGTTGGTTCTAAAGTTAGGGTTCATTTCCAGAATATTTGAAGAATA